GACACAGGCTCGGGCACAGTAACCCTGGTCGAGAGCAGATGTGTTGTCCAGTGAGACTCATTACGGAACCGACAGCGGTGCGTCTACGCACAGCACAGGAGAGCTGGCTAACCTATGAGAGGAAAAGGCATGCGGTGAGCTGTGTTGGTGGGGGGGAGTTGAAGCTGCATCATCCGGTGTGCGATAGCAGATGTTTACAGGACCCGTATATTTCTTTGGCTTGGACTTTTTTGGAGGGCGGCTCTGGTTGCCCACCTGGACTTCAGAGCAGCACACTCTGAGTTTCCACGGGGGCCTGTGATCACTGATGACCCGGTAATCACACCCCTGCCTGAACCTGCTGGGAGACCCCGCTACACACCCGCGTTGAGAACCTCGAAACTGAACCTAGACCGGCCGGCCGTGTGGCCCGCCGACGGATGCCACTACTAGAGAAGAGAGAGCACTCAGGAAAAGGAGCTGCTGGAGGATATATCGTCTGTGCTGCAGCTCGAGCAAGTTAAAGTGGTTATTGCCGGGAGCCTCCGGTCCAGTGGACGCGGCAGAGTGGAAGCGCAACAGGCGAAAGCTGACACAGACCTACAGCCTGCTAGTGCAGTGGGTCGCAGGCCGCAGCAGCGGGCCACCGTGGGGAGGAAGTGGCAGTGCTTCTCCAAAGGCACCAAGGCGCTGGGTGGTCTCAGTGTGAGGCCTCTGCGGTCTGTGTCAGGGCGCTACTAACAGCGTGAAGGAAGGGAGCCAGAAACGGGGGGAGAAGACTGATGGCAAGGTTGGTGGTCACCGAAGGTCTGCAAGAGGCCCTGTACTCAAGGCCGTGCATGGGAATGGAATGGCAGACTCTTGGGCACTTTGCATCACTGAGACTTCTCCGCCGGCCTTCGGCCCCCCGGGCTGCCTACTGGGGCCAAGCTGCCGGAGGGACTGTCGGTAGACTTCTGTCGCCGCTGCTGTACCATTTGTGTGGCTCGTAATGCGCCCCGTGTTCGTTTCCATTTCTCCGATGCAGTTTCCCGCCTGTCTTACAGGGTGCCAGTGGTTTCCCATGGGGAAAATAAAAATGCGTGGCTCCACGAAACAGCGTTGGCAGAGGAGCTCACTTCTCCAGAAGGGCCCAAGGGACACGGCCACAGCTCCCCCCTCGACACCCTCACTCAGGTCCCCCGGCGAGCCGAGCAGCAGGGCCCCGCTCAGTGACTGACGTTCCCCCCCACTTTCTTTTCCTTCCCTGCCCGGCGGGGACGAACGGCCCACCCCCTGTCCCCAGCTGTCAGCCCTCGCAGAGAAGCGCCAGACACCGACCGGCCGAGTGTGGGCTTCAGAGACTTTGTGTGGCCAGTTTTAGGTTAGTAGTAAGACCCTCGGTTCCTGTAGAGGCGGCAAGAATGTGGCCCTGGTCTCACTGGAAGGGATGGTAGTCCACCCAGTCCTTCCTAGGTTCAACTAACAGTGTGTTAGTTATAGTTTTTGTGCTAGGTTTGTATTTGTTCCTCGTGGGCGAGGAACTTTGTAGTAAGGGGTTAGTGGTAGCGACCCTGTAGGATGCTGAGTGTGTCACTCAAGCATCCCCGTCTGCCAATCACAGAGCTGCACAGTGATTGCTGGTCGGGGTGCGGGCCTGTGGTGGGGAGCAGAGGGGGGAGGGGGGGGGGATAATACAAAGATGTAATACACACAAACACTGCTGGCAAATCCTGATTACAGAAAACACTTTTCTCCTCTCACCTGGATTTGTTCTCCTCAAAGTGAGCGCTGGTCTTGATGTAGCGGGACAACTCGATCTGCATGTCCCCGAATAGAGGCACCACCTGAAGTTGCTGTAAACATCAACAACACACACATCTGAGTTATTCATGTTCTATCAAACTGTGTATGCCACGAAATATAGGGTGCAAACGAGCCATTATGCAAGAAAACATTTTGCTAAATTGATTGATAAAATGGAAATAGTCCCCAAAACATAAATGATAAATATTGGGTCAAGGCAGGAGGTTTTCTCTTTAGTGATTCAACCATTACGTCCAAACAAGCATTTAGGATGACATGCAATAAAAGGTATATTAGAGATGAAATAATGAGTCAGGAAATGGATTAACATTTAAAACTAAATAAAGATTTTCTCTCTGGATATTTTGCTGTTCAATGCTCCCCCTTCTAAAACTGCACAGCACTTCCACTCTTATACACGGTGTTAGGGAATCACTTCGACCCAGTTCATCGTCTTCTCCTCTCACTGTCTCCTTTCCCATGGCATAGTTCTACGGCCTTGGTCATTGCTGCTATCTCTCTTAAGGAGGGGCAGCTTGGGCGCATTGTTGTTCCCAGCTTATGACCGAGCACAAGCTGACATGAGATAGTTTATTGTTCAGGGACATCTAGAAGCCCTTCTTTTTAGGAACGTAGGTTCCCTGGCGCACATTCTTTTCTATGGACGACAGCTCTAGTTAGATTCAGGGTCCATAATTGTTTAGTCTCGCTGATAAAGAATGTTGATTATTAAACTCCGAACTAGTTAAGACCTGGAACTACAGAATAGTTCTTCAGAATTGATTGTGGCATCTCAACCGTGTGGTCAGATCGTGGCCCGTGACATGTCTTGTGAATTCTCCGGCCGAAGCTCCAAATAAACCGTCAGTGTTTGCCATCAAAGCTCCAGCTCTCCTCGTGTCTCTCTGAGTCCTGTTTCCAATTGCTTCAGAAGTTTCTCCCACAGAGACCCATGAAGTTGTCAGGAAGATGTAATGTGAGGTACCTCACATTACATCTTCCTGACAACTTCATGGGTCTCTGTGGGAGAAACTTCTGAAGCAATTGGAAACAGGACTCAGAGAGACACGAGGAGAGCTGGANTTCTAACAAGGATGCAACAATCGACATCCAAACAGTGCCTAAAATCGTCAGTAAAAGCCCCTTGTCACACTGTCCCGAAATTGACACCCGATGGACACACGATCCAAATTCGGCTCTGATCGAGCAACATCGGCCATTCGTGAGGTCTTAAGCCATCGTATGACCGGCCGTGGAGATTTCTCAGGGCTACCGGCAGGAACTCGTGAGCGGCAAGTTGTAAGGGCACCCGTGAGGCATCTTGCCAAGTCGTGTCATCTTTCGTTGTTTATCATCGTGGGCCGTCGGGCATTCGCCCTCACTCTGATCGGGGGCGAAGCCCGATGGCACCGATGATAACAAGATGCTCTCACGAAGTGGCCTTAAGAAGGCAAAATGGGAACACGCAAATTCACACGAATGACATCGCAAGGTCCTTCGATAATTTTTGGCATTGCAAGATTTTGCACGCTCACGAAGTTGCTGCTGGAGCCTGAGAACACTCCACCGGCTTTATACGAGGCTTTAAGATGCCTTCACGAATGTACCGAGTTTGTTTTACGATTCAGAGCCGAATTTTGCAACATTTCCTTTATCGTGTGTCCATCGCGTTGTTTTATTGCACACAACTCATTGTCAAAATATTATGTAAATACCCAATTTTGTGTTCTGTGGGAAACTGAAAAAAGATATAATTTATTATTTGAAGGGCGGAGTTGACAGGAAGTTGTTGTTGCTATGGAATAACGAATGACGGAGAAATTCTTTAATATCTGTTACATATAAAGACGGAGAAAGTAAAGAACAAAGTCTAAAATATCAGTGCAGTATCATATGTATTTAACATATTGTTGTGTTAATTTCGTTGCAGTTGTATGTCTTAAATGTAATGTAATGTAAATGTTGCCTTCGTGTGTGGTTCGGGGCCATCTTTGTGCGAAATTCACAATTCAATGTTCGTGTGTCCATCGGGTGTACATTTCGGGACAGTGTGACAGGGGCTTTAGAAGTAAATAAATGAACATTAGTGATGGTGTTGTGGAATCAGTCTGAAGTTCTTTTATTGTGTATTTTCTGCAGAGATCTGACTACCATCAATGGATCTCGGTACTTCACAAACTACCTCGAGATCATCTTCGATCTGTACGTCCTCGTCACCACGGCCAACAGCCCCGACATCATGTAAGACTTCTTCACTACTAAAGCACCAGCATTAGTTTAATATTCATCCCTTTACCTTAAAATGCCTTGAAATCAGGAACATCTGTGAAGTATTTTAATATGTAAAAGATGTAATTGTGTGCCTCCTGTTATAAAGAAGGAAGTTGATGCGACATTTGAAAATAATATTAATTATTTAAAGAAATGAAACATATTCTTATTTTAAATTCAACTTTGTTATTAAATTATTAAGTATTTTGCATTGGACTAAACTGCATGAACCACCTTCAGAGTGTGATCAAGCATCACTACAGCCATCTTTATTTAAAAAAGCGAGTTGAATATTTTCTTTGACGATGAATTATGAAGACGTTTGCGTTTTTGTTGATTACACAATGTCAACACATCCATGTTTTGAGAAGAAGGAAGTTACTTTTTCAGAAACATTTATCTGTCCATCTGCACCTTTTGTTTTCTCTTCTTGTTTGCAGAATGCCGGCATACAACGCCAGCTATTACTTCGCCATCTTCTTCATCCTGTACATCCTCATCAACAACTACATCTTCATGTCCGTGTTCTTGGCCGTCGTCTACAACAACTACAAATACCACCTGAAGGTATCACAACCTCTCAGAGGATCTCTATACAGTTTGAAACATGCTATGTGCGGGGGAAACTTCTGTTGCAATTGGAAACAGGACTCGGAGAGACACGAGGAGAGCAGGAGCTTTGATGGCAAACACTGACGGTTTATTTGGAGNCATAGTGTATGGGCGCTGTACGCAATATAGGCGTAGTTCTGTTAGTATAAGATAATAAGATGTACTTTGTTGATCCAAAATCGGGAAATTGTGTTGTTATGAAATAAAAAATAAAAATATTTTTTTAATTTCTAACTTTTTTTTTAAAATTTTCGGCGCCCTCCATTGATTGGTGCGCCCTTAGCATTCGCCAATACTGCCTATGCCAAGGGCCGGCCCAGCATGTTCCCATCTTCAGAATGCATTAGAGCCCGCCTTTCCAACATTATGTTCTTCATACTCAATGTTAGGGAATAATTTGCTTAGGTATTCAACCTTCGAACAGTTCATAATTTTCTCCTCTCGCTGTCTCCTTTCCCATGGCATAGGTCTACGGCCTTGGGCATTGCTGCTATCTCTCTTAAGGAGGGGCAGCTTGGGCGCATTGTTGTTGCCAGTCTATGACAGAGCACAAGCCGCCATGAGGTAGTTTACTGTTCAGGGACGAAGGCTCCCTGCTGCACATCCTTTTCTATGGACGAGAGCTCTAGTTAGATTCAGGGTCCATAATTGTTTAGTCTCGCTGATAAAGAATGTTGATTATTACACTCCGAACTAGTTAAAAACTCGAGCTGCAGAAGAGTTCTTCAGAATTGGTTTGGCAACCACTGTGTCAACTCGTGACACACCACCTGTCTTGTCAATTCTCCGGCCGTAACTCCAAATAAACCATCAGTGTTTGCCATCAAAGCTCCAGCTCTCCTCGTGTCTCTCTGAGTCCTGACTCTCCATTGCTACAGAAGTTTCCCCCACACTGTTAGTCGGTACCTCTCTGCCTTGTCGTGTTTTCTGTTGTATTTGGTGCTTTTTTGTTTTGTTTAAAACAACTAAGATCCACAGCATCCCTCTTTGTTGTCTTGATGTTCCCTTCTGGATCAATCTGCTGTTAAACTGATATTTCCTGTGCTTCCATGTTCAAGCCTNATTGGTTTGGCAACCGCTGTGTCAACTCGTGACACACCACCTGTCTTGTGAATTCTCCGGCCGTAACTCCAAATAAACCATCAGTGTTTGCCATCAAAGCTCCAGCTCTCCTCGTGTCTCTCTGAGTCCTGTTTCCAATGCTTCAGAAGTTTCCCCCACACACGACACATTTTGTTTTATATTTTAGTACTTTCTTTATACTTAATTCATATTTCTCATAATCATTGATTTTTAATGTTGTAATATATCTGCACCTTCTGTAGCAGCAAATTCCTCTTACTGTGTTTATGTATTCACAATGTTACACTAAAGCTAATTGCTAGCATGTGGGCACAACTTGGCCATAAACCTGCTTCTGATTCTGAAATATCTGGCCGATTTCCGTACCTTGAAGAACTTGTCGATCTTGGTCAGGTTGATCCTCTTCTTGGCGTCCAGTTTGTAGATGTTGCTGCTGTTTCCGTCCATCAGGTACAGACCGAACCCCATCACCTGGAGGCGGAGCAGAGAGGGGATATAGGTAAATATGTGTTGGGAAAATACTGAATGTCCTCTTCCAACATGAGAGTACACATGATAACAAAGGTATCCCAACTGTAGCTGTGAACATGACAGGATGTGTGATTACCTAGAAGAGCATCAGGACTGTTTGAGGCATATGATAGCTATGTGATTAACATGATGATTCAGCCTCTATGGAGAGAGACATATGACAAGCATGATCATTTCTGACGTGGAGCTAATCTGAAGTAAACATTGAATACTGCTTTCTATTCCTCCATCTTGTGACTGAGTAACTCCCTCTCTTGGATATCAGCATGTGAAGGACACTGTTCAGGAACTAGTTGATGCTCTGTATGTGATGACTACTTCCATTCTGGAGAGGATCACAGATACATGGATCCTGATATTGAAGCTCAAGCCGGTGAGCTATCTCCTAACATATTACGTCTTTTTTTTGGTCACAGTTGGCTGAGAAGGGGGACCTGGCGCTGCTGGAGAACCTGGTGAGGAAGAGCCCTGAGGTCCTGAGTGAGAAAGATGAGTGTGGAGCGACTCCTCTTCATCACGCGGCCGCGGGGGAACACATCCCCCTCATCCTCTTCATCAACTCTGTCATCGAGGCGCAGGGTGAGAACAATCTGCCATCCATCACACACTCAGGTGGAAACGTGTGTGTGTGTGTGTGTGTGTGTGTGTGTGTGTGTGTGTGTCACCTGAGTGATTTTGTTGTGGTTTGCCAGGAACATGGACAGGTTCTGAGACTCCTGGATGGAGGAAGGCTCAGACATCTTTCTGAGGAACTGAGCAGCTCTGCAGGAGGAGAGAGACACATCGCTTTTAATACAAACAAAATGTACAACAAGCAGATACTAGGTCATCTTCCCCCTGTCAGTCAAACACACACGTTACATAATTCATTTGGGTTGTTGTAAATAGAAATCACTGAATCAACATCATGTGTTTACATCCCCTAAATGATCAGGATTGCAGTTGCAAAATCCATCATATTCCTGGTACACTGACACACTTTCATATCAATTCAAATCAATATATTTTACAGAAATGCTGAGCAATGCTGCCCTCTAGTGTCCTCAATCAAGTTTGAGAATGAAGCTTAACTTTAAATGTTCTTTAAAGTGGACCTATCATGCTATATTTGAATAATATAGTGTAGGACCATACCTATATAAGGCATATTTATACTTTTTATTTTTCAAAATACCAAACAGATCATGCATTTTAGCCATTCCTCATTTCGCTCAATTTAACACTGTCTTTGCATGGGCTGATTCTGTGAGAACAGCACCACCTACAGGCCTGGCATATGTACTACAGAGTCTCCAGCGCTTTCCAACGGCAATGTCCGTGGCTGTCTCCTCCTGATTGGTGGAGTTGGCCCAATAGCAGTAGCGCCACTTCTGTGACGTCATAGAAGTGTTCAAATCTGGATCAGTCTGTATCAGATCCGTTGCAGCCCCTTTTTAAGAGATTTGGGTATGGAGGAAAATAGA